CAGTCTACAGCCAAGTGAGCCGTCTCGAAGAGGGTCCTAAACTCATCTCAGCAATCCCTTGCAGCGCCCTATTTCGCGGATATTTGAGCACTCATCAAATATCGACAGGAGGATTTAGGACATCCGTCTGCATGTCTGAAATCTAGACGGTTTCTGCTGACGAGCTCAGGGCAACTATTAAAACCTGGTAACTACGAAAGCTCGGCTGAGCCCGGCCGGGGTAGGAGGCTGGGAGCGGGTGGAGTGGAGGCCAGCAGTGGTGGTTTAGATATCGAGGGTCGTGGCAGAAGATAGGGGACTGGATTATTGACTGGAAAAAAGCTGAGACCTTCCCGGAGATCAGAACAGGAAACATGGGCGGAATTTATACCGGAGAGGCCTGTGTGTTTTTTATGTTCAGCATGAAACTAACTTGATGCCCAGTGGAAATCAGCGATCCCGGAGGCGACACCATAACCTCGCCGCTCAATTTTCGCAGCTCGAACTTGAACCCGGAGATCAGTGCACATTGCACATCGGTGAGCCGAGTATTAGTAGTTGCGTTTGAGGTATCTTTGGCGAGCACGTTGATCAGTGCTTGTGGTTGTACTTCGGTTATTGCTGCGTCGAAAAGCCTTGTGGGCGCACTGGATCCGTCCGCCATGCTGCTGCTCCTGCTGCTGTTGTTCGCTGTACCACTGCGCATAGTTATTGGTGGTCTTCTCGGTGGGTGTCCACTTCGACTGGCCGGCGATGTATTGCACGCCGGGTGATCTGAAAATGGACCGGCAAGTTGCTGGAAGCAGAAATGTGTCGGTTACACGAGGAGAAAACAACGCCGCTGAGCCGAGAGGGGATTCGAAATCGAACCGTAAGGTGGGCCGCCGTTTTAAGGGGACACCTTCCCGAACACTGACCGATGAAATTTCAGGAGCAATGGATAATCACGTTTATGCGCTTCGAAGGCGACCGGCAGCACGGGTGGAGAGTGGTGCTGGCGGTTCACCGATCGGTGCTGGCACCCCGTGCTCCTCGAGAAGCTCCTCATTTACTGGCAAGAGGTACGCTGCCCATTTACTCCCTCAAAATTCAGTGAACTAAAAGCCACCTGGGAGGTGTTTGTTCTGTGTCGCCACTGACCGGTGCACTAGACTTTGTTGATTTGAATATTTTGTGAAGTTATGGAAGAAGTTGCAACTAAAAAATTAAAGTAAAAACTGAATTGGAATATTTCGGTCCATTAAATCGCATACATTCCCATTCAGTGCTACAACTGGACAACTCGTCAATGTGACGGTTGCAGCAGAATTATTAGAAACATACAGTGAAAGAGAGGAAAAAAATAATAAACTCATCCAGGCGGCAGCTGAATAGCAGCCAGAGCATATTTTTGTTGGCGAAACTCGAGACACGTAGCACTCCTTTTGAGTTGCACTTTCCAACTCCTTAACTCAGAGAACGCAGAAATGGTAGGTTAACCAGCTTTTATCTCAACCTTACGGCCCAATAACCTGTACCGTTTTATGCGTTTTGTGCTGTGTAACAGCGGCACAAAACGCATATTGTCACGGGGTTGTCTGTATGTGTTTGCGTGTGTATGTGTGTCCGCAGCAACTTGTTCGCAACTTTCAACTCGGAAACCACAAAAGCTAGGAAGCTGAAAATTTAGGGTAACGTTCCCCATTCACGTGCGACCCCGCAAATTTAAATCCAACCTCCCCGTACCCGCGGGTAATACGTACGGGCCCCGTGGAAGTCTTTTACGGGTAAATTAATATCTCGGGAAACACGGAGTTTAGAAGGCTGAAATTCTAGGGTAATGACCCCCCTACCCAGGCTCAACCTTGCCCATCAAAATTCAGCCTTCCCATACCCGCGGGTAACACGTACGGCCCCGTGAAAATTTTTCACGGGTAAATTAATATCTCGGGAACCACGGAGTCTAGGAGGCTGAAGCTTTAGGGTAATGACCTCCTGCCCACGCTCAACATTACCCATTCAAATTCAGCGTTCCCGCGCTGTTGAGTATCACCTGCGGCCTCGTAAGAATTTGGCGGGTAAGCTATTAACTCGGGAATCACGGAAAGATATTCACCTTTCAAG